CACGATCAGGTTGCCGTCGTCGTCGCACTGCGCGATGGCCCAGCCCGCGCGGCGGAGGGAGCTGAAGTGGGGCTCGATGGCCGAGCCGTCCAGGTACAGCTTCCCGTTGAGCTTGTCGTCGGGCGGCCGACGGATCCACCACACACTCATGGCGTCGGTGCGGCGGCCCTGCGGCGGCGGAGGCGCTGGCAGCCAGCATCGAGCGAAGTTCTCGCCGGCAGCCTCGCCTCGGGCGCGCGCCAGCGCCGCATACCGCGCGAGCCGCGGAGAGAGGGAGTCCCTCCGCTGCGCCGCCAGCACGGGGCACTCGAACAGCCTGTGCCAGAGTGTGCCCCGCTCCGCCCCGCAGCACCGGCATCTCGCATGGCCGCGCTCCCCAGCGTCGAGCAGCCTCGCCTGTGGCCAGTGCGCGTTGGAGATGTAGGCGATCAGCGCGTGCTGCTCGCGCTCACCGAGGTCGCCGCCTGGCCCCAGCAGCGGTGCGAGCGCATCCCAGAAGAGCGGCCCCCGCAGCGCGTCGCTGCGGGCCAGCTTCCGCATCTCGTGGCGGTCGGAGGCCCGCCGCGCGCCGAGCCCCGCCTCCAGGCCGAGCTCGCGAGGCCCCAGGAGCGCGAGGTCCAGCTTGTCGCCGAGGTCCGTGACCAGGCACCGCTCGGACTCGAAGTACCAGCCCTCCTAGGTGGTGGAGAAAGGTCCGGCCAGGAGGGGGCGCACAGATTCTGTTTGGGCAGACCCCCGATTCGCAGCCTCAACCCAAGGGGCGAAAGAAGGGAAGAGGAGAAGAAGGAGAGGAGGAGTGACGGACGGATGGGTCTCCTGCTCCTCTTCCTCCTCCTCCTCCTCCTCCTCCTCCTCCTCCTTCTTCACCTCCTCCTCCTTCTCCTCCTCCTCCTCTTCCTCTTATTCCTCCTCCTCCTCCTCCTCCTCCTCCTCCTCCTTCTCCTGTCCCTCCCCAGGACGAGCATCAGGGTGGCCCAGGCAGCGGGGGTCAACGCTACCGGGGGGTCAGCCAATCCCCTCTGGCCGGCCCGGGCTCGGGAGCTACCAGGCGGCCAGCCGGGCTTCGCGGCAGGGCCCTGGCCGACGCGGAGTCGGGTGGACCCGGGGTAGTGGCGAAGCGTGCTGGCTCCCCTGGCCAGTCCGAGGTAACCGCGTCTGTTGACTGTTGACCCGACGCTGCGGAATCCGAGCAGTGGCGAGGCGTCCTGGCTCGCCTGGCAGGCCTGCGAAAGGATGTTCTAAGATCCTTGTTGTGGTCTGCGCGGAATGTGATTAGAACATGTATGGCTGGGGCTGCCTTGTTGTAGCACATCGGCTCTATGTTCTAAGCATTGTTCGTTCTTTGAACATGTTTGGGTTCTAAGAACATGCAGTGGTAGGCCTACAGGGATGCCGGGACAGTCGGCCCCTGCTCAAAAATGGATGGAGGAGGTGAAGAAAGGTGCACCGTTTGCGCCCTAGTTTTACAAAGGAGCCCCCAAGGGGCCCCAAAGGGTCACTGAACGTTCACGTTTTCTCCCTCCCGTTTTGTTCGCCTCTCCCATGAGGCAACGCCCAAGGTCGTGCGTCCCCGAAAGAAGCGAAGGCGGTGCATCAGGGCGAATGCGGTAAATCAGGAGGGGGGGAACAAAAAAAACAGACACAATCCATCGTCGACTCCCAGGAGCATGTGGCAACTCTGGGAAGCGGGGGGTGGGGCAGAAGAACACCCAGAAGATACATGGGAAAACAGGGGGGGAGTCCTGGGATCTGTGTCTTTGTGTGTGTCCCTGGGCCCCTCCTCGGTGCAGGAGGGAGGAGGAGGAGGAGGAGGAGGAGGAGGAGGAGGAGGAGGAGGAGGAGGAGGAGCAGCCGCGGCAGCCGGGAGCAGCCAGGAGAGCCGCCGAGAGCGGGCCCCGGGGCGGGCGCGGGCCCCGCCAGGTCTCGCCCTGGGCCGAGTGGTCGGCCTGCGACCGCGCCTGCGACGGGCAGCAGCAGAGGGCCGGCGCCTCGGACCGCCCGGCCTCGCCGGCTGCTCGAAGAGTCGAGCAGTGGCGGAGCGTCCCGGCTTGCCGGTTAGGCCCACCGGAGGGTGCTCTATATCGGGGGCGGAAAAGAGGGGGGTGATGACTAGGGGGGGGGTGGATATCATGGCGGGGGCCATGATATCATGGCCGCCGGTCATGATTCGCACCCCCCCGTCTTGGACACCCCCCTCTTGGCCGCTCCCGACTAAAAGAGCCATATGCTTGTGGTTCGCACGGAAGGTGCTGAGAGCATCTCTGGTTGGGGCTGCCTTGTTTGCACACATCGGCTCTGCTTCATGGTCTGAGAACACGGCTGTTGTGATTGGAACAAATTTCGGGTTCGAAGAGCATTTCGTGGTTCGCCTATAGGAACGCCGGGACGGTCGGTCCTTGCTCAAAAAAGAAAAACGGCATAAGCATAAACTTTTGGCGCTCCGCGCGGATCTCTTGGATCCGCGCTGGTCCCCCCCCCAGCGGCGCCTCCGGCGCCGCCCCTGGCGCGCTCCGCGCGCCAGGGATGGGGGGTCCAGCGCAGATCCAAGAAATCAGCGCGGAGCGCCAAAGATTTATGTGTGTGCAGTGTATTATATTGTCGTTGTGGCTGGTGCCGCTGCCGTGGCTGCTGCTGCGGCTTTCGCTGTCCCGAGGCCGTCTTGGCCCTCCTTGGCATCGCTCGGGCGTGTGTTTTGTTCTCGGCGAGGCCCATCGAGGAGCAATCGGGATCATCTTGCAGAAAGTACACGCACGAAACCGAACAATGCACGTGGAATAGACGTCCGAGCGATGGCGAGTCCAAGGCTTCAGCATCACGTGTGGCCTGCTCTTCTGCCCGTGGGCTGTCCCGAGGCTGTTCTGGAGGCGCCTTTCTTTCCGGGGGTGGTCGCGTGGACGAGCGCGGGTCACGGCCTCCGCATCTCATGAGCTTACGACCGAGTCCACGGCTGCTGTGGAAATTGGTCCCGCGACCAGCGGGGCCACGATCATTGTGCGAGGAACCGCTGTGAGCACAACCCGCGTCAACACCGGCATGATGTATTCGGCGATGGTGGTTTGCAACTGCAGAGCAGTAAACAGCTCCAGCATGGCTTGGTCCACGACTGTGTGAGGTCGCGCCCGCATTTTCTGACGACTTGCGTATCAGTTTGTAGTTCTAGATCTGCTAAGGTCCGGCCTATGACCCGGGGGCGTTCGACTACAAGTGTTGTCGACAAGCTGGGTCACCATGAGTTCCAGTTTTGGTATGATAATGGCTCTTAAGGTGCAGAGTCAGAAGCCAACATGCTTGCGAATCGAAATTGCTTGTTTTGAAGTTCCGGCTATGGTTTAGCTAGTGTTCCTGAAGTTTCAGCCGTCTCCCGACTAGCAGCGCGTGTCATTTACACGTTGGCACAACCAAAGGCAAGGAGCTCTCGAGGTCGCGCGCGCGTTGTCCTTGCGTTACGCGTATGGCTGTTAGGAACGACTCTACTTAGGGCCTGTTATGGATGTGGGCTTTCTAAAACATAGATTGTGTTTTCGATGGGACAGCGTCGTAAGGTCCAGCTGTGGCCTGGGTGCCGCTCCTAACAGTTCAACCATAGTTTCAACCTGAAACCACAGTTCCATAGCCGTCATGCAGTTTGACAACAAGACATAGACGGACAAGTACATGGATATGTATGTGTATCGGAGGTTGGGGGGTGAGTCCGACGTGAAACGGAGACCCCCCTACCAGGAAATCGATTTCGGATTCGGGTTCGTGTCGTGCGTGCCGTGCGTGCGTGCGGGCGAGGCGAAGCTGCGTGGGTGGGCGAGAGGAAATCCTCCTGTGGCTGGGCCGCGGCCTGACCAAATGTAACTCGTCCGGCGGCAGGTGCGCGGCGGTGTCCCCCCGCAAGTGTCCTGCCGGTGTCCCGAAATCCTCCTGTGGCTGGGCCGCGGCCGGACCAAATGTAACTCGTCCGGCGGCCGGTGCGCCGCGGTGTCCCGCCGGTGTCCCGCTGGTGTCCCGAAATCCTCCTGTGGCTGGGCCGCGGCCGGACCAAATGATTCTCCTCCGGCGGCCGGTAGCGCGCGGTGTCCCGCCGATGTCCCGTGGTGTTTTGAGGTGGCCCGTGGTGTCCCGTTGAGTGAGATCGATAGTGAGATCGATACTGTGATCGATTTGGTGCCCCGAGGTGTCCCGTGGTGTCCCGTTGAGTGAGATCGATAGTGAGGTCGATAGTGGGATTGACAGGTGTCCCGTGGTGTCCCGTTGAGTGAGATCGATAGTGAGATCGATAGTGAGACCGATAGTGAGATCGAGAGGTGTCCCGCGGTGTCTCGTGGTGTCCCGTTGTGTTCCGTGGTGTCCCGTTGAGTGAGATCGATAGTGAGATCGACAAGTGTCCCATGGTGTCCCATGGTGTCCCGTGGTGTCCCGTTGAGTGAGATCGATAGAGAGATCGATAGAGAGATCGATTGAGTCTGATGTTGGTCCCTCCCCTCTCCCCCCCAAACCTCCTTATCACCTGAAGGATGGTCGTATAGGTATATATGTACAATATTGCAGTTGCGCTTCGCGGTATGCACCTTGGTCTTGAAGTTTGGCATGCAGGCGGAATGTCAGGAAGGTCAAGCCGACAATTCAGCGATATTTCCTTGCTGCCTTTTCCGGCATCGCCGTTATAATAATGTGATTAGTTTTCCTTCCTTCATGCTTTTTCCTCATTCTCGCCCTACCCTACGTATTCTCCCCATCCTCCTCTGTCTTTTGTTGCGGAGGCTCCTCCTTGGAGAGCCTCTGGGGGCCTCGCGGAAGTTGTTCATGTTTTTTGGAGGCCGTCTGGAGGCCTCTTGGACGTCTTCTGGGGGCCTCTGCGGGCTTTCTCGGGCCACCCTGTCTTCAACCGCGGTCTCCCTGAACGACCGGGTCACGATTTGGAATGCTTTGGAGGTTGTCTCGGGGTCATCTTGGGCCGTCATGGGGCTCTCTGAGGCCATCGTGGAACCTTGTTATGCCGTTTGGGGGCTCTCTTGGACTGCTTGGAAGCCCTTTCGGATGGTTGCGGGGCGATTTTCGAGTCTCGCAGGCGGCTTCGGACGCCCAGCAACTGTAGCCATTCTGGCCCACAGAAGACCTTTGTCTATTTTTCTGTTCATTCTCGCTCAGATGTGTCATTATGTCTTGCGTGCACGTTCCGCCTCATCCCCTCACTCGGGCAAAAAACAAACGACACCACCCCAACTACGGGCCTCCATGTTGCGCTACGGCCAGTCGGGGTCCGCAGCGAAGACCATGCAAAAACCCACGCCAGATGTCTTGTAAAAAGGCTACGGCCCGTGGCGCCGTAGGTGGGGTGGTGTCGTTTGTTTTCTGGTCCCCTCATCCTCACACCCCCTCGCCGTCCTCCCTCCTATCGTTCTGGTGCCGATGCCCCGTCGCTTTCCCGCGCCCCTGCTCCTACATGCCTTATTGCCTATGCTGCTTTTGTTCCTCTCTTCCTCCTCCCGCCCCTCGCGAAGGAGCTCCAGGGGCGGGGGACGGGGAGGGGGAGGGAGGGAGGGAGGGAGGGCAAGACGGGCGGACAGACAGGGTGATGGACGGGGCGAGGGAGGGGCGAGTGGAGGGGGGAAGCCTCTGCCCAAGCTCTCCTCCTCCTCCTCCTCCTCCTCCTCCTCCTCCTCCTCCTCCTCCCCCCCTCCTCCTCCTCCCCCTCCTCCTCCTCCTCCTCCTCCTCCTCCTCCTCCTCCTCCTCCTCCTCCTCCTCCTCCTCCTCCTCCTCCTCCTCCTCCTCCATTTCCTCCTCCCCGTTCCTCCTCCTCTGCCCAGAGCCCCTTCTCTCCCCCTTTTCGCCCCCTGGCCCACCCCCGAGCGCCGCCGAGTCCAGAGATGTCGTCGTCGAGCCCTCCATGGGCGGCCAGTGCACGCGCAGCCTCCAGGAGACCCGCGGCTGCAGCCAGGACCGCCTCCCGCTCCTCGTCCACCCCATCCTCCTCCCTATCCTTCACCTCCTCCTCCTCCTCCTCCTCCTCCTCCACCTCTTCCTCATTCCTGGCGTTTGTCGGACTTCCAGTTAGGGGGCTCGCAGCGTTCGTAGGACAACGTGCGTCGATGAGACACCGATGGAGGTAGAATGGCCGCGAAGTAAGCTGCCAGCAGATGTGGATGACAGAAGTAATGAGGCCAAAGCAAAACAAACGAAGCCCAGAGGGCGAAGCGTAACCCTGCAAACAGCCAAGAGACGGAGAAACCGTGAACATAACCATCAGCATAATTCAAGGAGGACCCCGAAGAGGAGCGGACGAAATACGCGTGCAGGCGGGCACCATCGCAGAAAAGGTGTGCCAGTGATATTGTAAGTTGGCCTGGTCGTGAGAGTAGCTAGGTCGCTGACCAAGATGGTAAGCCGGTACCCAGTGCGGTGAATGTCAACCCGGTACCCAGTGCAGTTAGCGTCAACGGAACAGGTGAGTGGAGTGATGGAGGTGATCACGATCAACAAGTAAGATAGATGAGATGAGGAGGAGAGGTGAGGATGAGCAGATCTGACGCCCGGCGGCCCAATGCAGGGCAGGTGCCCCTCCGCCGAAGGCCAACATGGCCATAGCACGGAGTGCCAGTGGTGTGCTCGTCCATTGAGGCAGCCTTCCCGCACCCGTCCAAGCAAGGTTGCTGGAGTTGGCAGGTTACGCGGGCTGCGCGAGAAGTGGCGAAAGGGCTTCAAATTACATTCAGGGCGCTCACACAAGGACCGCTTCGAGTGCAGGAGGGGTTATCAGGCCGTTCCTCAGGTCTAGGCCGGGGAATGTGATCGCGGCCGAGGCCCGCCGTGGCCTGGAAAGCCCCTTCGTTCCTTACCCAGCATTAGAGGAGGGGGAGGAGGAGGAGGAGGAGGAGGAGGAGGAGGAGGAGGAAGGAGGAGGAGGAGGAGGAGGGGGAGGGGGAGGAGGAGGATAATGCAGGAGGCGGAGAACATCCTCTGCGAGCCACGCGCCAAGGCCTGCGCGCGCCTTGGCAGCGCCTTGACTGTAGGGCGGCTGGGCTGACGGCGAATGGCACGGCAAGGTTTGGAAAGTATGACATGCAGCTGTGGCGGTGGGGGTCTTGTCACAGCCTGGGAAGGCCCCTTCGTTCCTTACCCAGCGTTCCTAGTGGCAGCGCCTTGACTGTTAGGGCGGCTGGGCTGACGGCGAACGGCACTGCAAGGTTTGGAAAGTATGACATGCAGCTGTGGCGGTGGGGGTCTTGTCACAGCCTGGGAAGAGAGCTGCTGCGGGCGGATCGTCGGAGACACGCTGGGCATGAAGCAGGGCAAGTGTGCAGGTGTAGGGCATTGTATGTTTTTTGTTCTGCCCTGAGGGGAGCACCACTGTCCGCCCCATGTGTGGCCAAGGGAAAACGAAGAACAGGATTTACAAGCATGCAATCGATAGGTCCTGGGACATACTACAAAGTGCATTCCGTACCGAACTTGAGGGGGTGGGATGGAAATGAACACGACCGCCATATAAAGATTTGCGAAGCCCAAGAAGAGGGGAGGCGTGGTAGGATGGGAGTCCTGAAATAATATTGTCAGCAGTGGTAGCACTTGGTGAAAGCAAGACAGCGAAGTGGGCGCAGGCGGCTAGGGTCGAGATGTACACCCTGCCTGGCACTTGCTGGCTACAGCGGGAGAATCACCCGGGCCTGCATTCAGACTTTGTACAGGCAGGGCCCCAGTATCTCCTCGAGAACCCTCGCCCTCCCGACACCCCCTCCCGCAACACATGGGATCAGTGGAGGTGTGCTGGCAGAGTGACTCTGCCTTCTCCCCCTCGATCGCGAAGGGCCCATCGGCCTTCAGCGCTCCCTCCTCCGCCTCGGCCCTTTGGAGCTCGGCCTCGGCCGCCCCGGCATCGGCCGAAGCAGCGCCGCTTGCGCGCGGGGGCCCACAGACAATGGGCCGGATCGTCGGAGCCCTTGGGGCCTTCCTCCTCGATCGCGATCCCGTCGCCCGCGCGGCAGCACAGAGTGAAGTCGGGCCTGTCCCTCTACAGGAGTAATATTCAAAAATAATCAAAAATTGTCTGGGGACGATTGAATGATCAGTTTTGATAATGTTGAGTATTGTTTGACTATTGCTTAGTCTTCATCCGCACTCCCCCCGTAGGGGGACAGGCCCGACCTGAGCACAGAGCCCCCTTCCTGCCGCGCGCGCCCTCCGTTGGGCGGGCGCAGGCCGGCGCGCTGCGCTTCGCGAGGCGCGCCGCCGCGGCGGCGCGGGCGAGCCGCGGTGGAGCGAGGCAGCCGCCAAGCAAAGTGCGAGCCAGAAGGAGCCAGGAGCCGGGAGGAGGAGGAGGAGGAGGAGGAGGAGGAGGAGGTGACGAGGAGGAGGAGGGGGACGAGGAGGAGGAGTGGGAGGAGGGGGAGGAGGGGGAGGAGAGGGGAGGGAGGAGGAGGAGGAGGAGGAGAAGAAGTAGACGGAGGAGGAGGAGCAGGAGCAGGAGGAGCAGGAGGAGGAGGAGGAGGAGAACGTTGCCACCGTGCCGCGTGCCAGGGATCAAAGGCGAAAAACCGCCATAACAATAACCTTTTGGCGCTCCGCGCAGATTTCTTGGACCCGCGCTGGGCCTCCCCCCTGGATGCGCATCCGGCACCGCCACTGGCGCGCTCCGCGCGCCAGGGAGGGGGTCCAGCGCAGATCCAAGAAATCCGCGCGGAGCACCGACAGTTTATGTTTATGCAATTTGTTATGCTTGTAATGGAGTTGGGGGGGCTGAGGAGTCGCGCCTCAGGGCTGGCGCTGCGGGGAGAAGCCCGACGCGGCGGCCATGCAGGTCGACGGTGGCGGCTGGCGAAATTTGCCAGGTCGGGATACTAGATGTTAAAGCTAATGATGCCACTCCTAAGTGAAATAGTTCCAATTGCGCCACCAGGCGAGTCGGCAGGGGGAGCGGGCGTCATGGTTGAGACTTCTTCGCGCGAAAGCGGCGCTCACGGCGCGGCCATCGCGCGTGCGCGCCCGTCTTAAAGGCTTGCGACCATAACTCGCATGGAGCGCAGTTTTGAGACTCCTTAGACATTTCAAAACGGGCGCCTAACCGTGTGCAGCAGCTGCGCGCACGCTGAGCGGCCCCTTTTCCACATCGGGATTGCTACATGAGACGCCCGCCAGCATCAGGCATCGTTGCCCATGTTTCAAGCCCCCTTCTGCTGCATGTACATGCGTCGCGGCGTTTGTTTTATGTTTCAGGATGGGAGAGGGCCCCTGTTTCAGAGCTGGGCTCTTGCATGAATCGCAGGCCCAGGCTGCGCTCGCTCTTCGAGGGAGCTCCCCGCCGTCAGCGCGCGCGCCAATGGGGCGTGATAGGGCTCGGGAAGGGGGGGGGGGGCGTTGCAGAATCGCCGATAAATTGTCTTGCCCCCCCCCCATCCCCTTCCCTCGCCCCCCCCAATCAGGTGTCCAAGAGCGCCAAAAGTTTCAACATCGCCGCTACCAAAGTGGTTGCCCATTGCGTGGCTCTACCAAGACAGTGGCGAACTGAGGTCCCAACGGCAGGCAGGGGCCAGCGCACCATTGTGCGCCAGGGCCTGCAAGCAGCAGCAGCACGCCCCCACTTTGACTTCGAATCCGAAAGGGCTCGAATGGGGATTCGGGGGAAACCATGGGCGAAATCGCCATTTCGATTTTGAACCGGACGGGCTTCGACTTCTGCGTTGGAGGAAGTATTTGGCGGAAGCGCCATGCCGATTCTGAGCCCGAAATGTTAACTTTGGTCGAAATGGCGCGTTCAATGCAGTCTCAGACGGGGTCGCCGTTTCGCAAAAGTTGGTTCCCCGAAATAATGATTTCGATTCGATGGAGACACTCTTAGGCGCGAAGTCGATATTGCGACCTCGTCCAAGATCTCTTCCAAGCAACGTCCGCCTCCTTGAGCAGCTGGACGCGCCGGTGCTGCAGGACCGTCGCCGGCGCCTCCTGGAGCTGCGTGACCCCTCTGTGTCGCACGAGTGGCTGTGGCGGGTCTCGCGCGCGCGTGGCCCAGTGGTGCCCAGGAGCGACTTCCAGGTGGCGGTCCGGCTCCGGGTGGGCGCAGTCTGCGCGAGCCCCGACTCGCTCTGCGCCCGGTGCGGCGCCTCGCTGGGTGCGACTGGCTCCCACGCCCTCCTGTTCTGCCCTGCCGGAAGCGACCCGCGGGCATTACGACGTCCGGGGCGAGGTGCTTCGGCTTGGGCACCTAGCAGACCCCACCGCCGCGACCGAAGCTCTCGGGCTCATTCCCTCTAAGGCTCCAGCGCTTCTCCCTGCGGATATCCTGACCTCAGCGGCTCTCCCGGGCCGCTTGGCGGCGTTGGACATTGGGATCACGAGCCCCGACGCTACCGTCGCGGGCGCGGACTGCTGCGACGCAGTGTACCGCCAGAAGCAGGGGGACTTCCAGGAGTACGAGGCGGAGCTGCGGGCGCAGGACATCACTTACAGGCCCATGGTCTGGTCGGCGTGGGGCCGCGAGCACCCGGAGACCAGCGTGATGCTTTCCGCGATGGCGGCGCAGGCGGCCCGGCGCCGTGGGCTGCGCGGCCACCAGCTGCTCCTCTGGAGGGTCCGGTGCACCGTTCAGCTGGCGCGACGCGCCGTTCGGATGCTGCGCTCCTGTGTGCCGCACTTCGGGGAGGAGGAGGAGGAGGAGGAGGAGGAGGAGGAGGAGGAGGAGGACGCGGCGCTCTTCGGCAGATGCCAGGACGCCGGCGTCCGGCACGAGCCGCGGGCGCTCCGGTTCCGCGCCGGCGACGCAGACGCGAGGCCCGGCGAGGCGGAGGGGGCGCCGGGCGCGACGCCGGGCGAGCCGGGCGGCCGCAGCCCAGAGCCGACCGAGCGGGGCAGCCTGGAGCCGACGGAGCTCCGCAGCCCCAGGCAGCCGCCCGGCGGCGCGGAGGGCGGCCTGGGTCTGGCCGAGGAGTCCAGCCTGGCGCCGACGACGCCCCGCGGCAGCTCACCCGAACTGGCTGGGGAGGGTGGCGCTGGGCCCGCGCCTGCCCCGAACCTGCCGCCGCTGCCGCTGGCGCTGGGCCGCGGCCGAGCGACCTCTGAGAGGTGTGCGCCGAGGGCTGGAAGGGTCACCCTAAATCCGCCCCGTTTGAGGGTGGCCCTTCCAGCCCTCTCTGGGGTCCGGGATGCCTGTCATCCCTCCAAGCACAGCCTGCGAGGGGGGGGGGAACACAGAACTGCATCGGGTGGGCCAGCGTTGACTTTTCGCCCTAAGTTTGGTTCTTGGCGCGCAGTGTTTGGTTGGTGTTGTTCCTTTTCTGTTTGCTCTTCTTCCGTTCCTGCTTGGTCATCTTGTCTTACCGATCTCATCCTCATCACCATTCATCCTCAGCACCATCGTCATGATCATTATTATTTCTCTTTCTCCGATCCTACCTTCTTGCACCCTCCCGTGGCTTTGACCTTCAATTCGTCGCCGCCTCGCTCGCTCGCCCGCTATTCCTGATGTTCTCTGCGCGGCGACACATACGCGCCAACATGTGCGCACCATGTGTCATCTGACTCCTCTACCTCCACCTCTCCCATCTCCTCATTTCGTTTTTGTGTCATCCCTCCTGTTCCTCATCCTGGTCTTACTTCTCCACAGCCCCCTCGTGGCGCCGGTGTCCTTTATCCACCCAGTCGCCCACATTGGTGACCCTGCGCCATGCTGCTCATCGGAAGTATCGCCACCTCTGCAGCGACACACGCCAGGACTCCTGCCAGGACACTTACACGCTCGGCGACTGGGAGGAGATCAGGGAGGTGTTTTCTCTAGGCTTGCCGAGAGCCTGAGGAGACCGAGAGACCAGGAGAGACAGGGTTGCGAGCAACGCGCGTACCATTAGAATAGTGAGCGTGGCAGGAGGGGATATATTCAGAGAGAGAGAGAGGGAGAGAGGAAAAAAAACATTCACATATCAATCCATGTATAAGTACGTACATACACATACGCAAACATAGAACAGCACACCACAAAACAAAACAATGTGTGGATGGTTCGAATTCGTGATATGGATATTGACATTGATAGTGAGACCGATCGTGGGATCGCGGGTAAGGACGATAGTAAGGTCGATCGTGGGACCGACCGTGAAGTCGACTCAGTGAGATCGATCGTGAGATCGCCCGTGCGATCTATAGTAGATCAATGGGGAGGTGGGTAGTAAAATCGATGGTGAGACCGATCGATAAGGAGATCGACCAAGAACCCGGGAACCCAGAAACCCGGGAACCCCGCAACCCACCGAAATCGGTCTGGAACCAGCAACCGGGAACCCCGGAACCCAGAACGGGGAACCGGGGAATTTGCCCGCCTACCGAAATTGGTTTGGAATGTCCGCCACATCCTTCAATATCCGGTAGGACCCCTTCAGTGCAAGCATTGACTGGGGAATCGAGTTTCAATGAATATGCATAATATGCATGTTGAGAGAAATTTACACAACAACAATAGGAGAGAGAGAGAGAGAGAGAGGAAGCTTTACGCCAAATAAATGTTATATACAACGGCGTGAACGAGAGAGAGAGAGAGAAGGAGCGAGAGAGAGAGAGAGAGAGATAGAAAGAGAGGCAGAAGGTTGAAGCGTGTGCGCCATGACAATGATGGGAAGGACGAGCATGCCCCCGCCCCTCGGAAAATCGGCGAGAAGATTACAATTCTTGGTAAGACTATCGATCAAGGACACCACCCTTTCACTCTGAACGTTTCCTCGCACTCGTTGCTGGCTCGAGCGCGCGTCGCGCTACGCCGTTCCCATGACGGCAATATTTGCACAGGCGCCATATCCATGGCCGTTGACGCCGGAACGCGGTGCGCCAGCGTCGTGCCATCTTGACTTTGGTCTGTTGCATCGAACGTCCTGTATCCGTCCGCTCCTCACCCCTTCCTGTGGGCGTCGTCTGCTGACGTGGTCCCTCAAAAGATCCGCAATCCATGATCGCGTACGCCCAAGAAGAGGGTATAATCTTCTTTCTTCGTCCTCCCGCGCCAAGGCACTCCCAAAATCTTCTGGAGACCATGACGAACCTCGCCGAAAACCTTCTGAACACCTCCTTCTCAGCCCTCCGACATCGTGCTCGGTTAATCCGTGGGTCACCCTTGCACGGGGTCCCCATCGCAGACATCAATCTCGGCGTCTGGGGTATGGTTCCTCCTCTTTTCTCCCGCTTCTGGCTTCTTGCTCCTCCTCCTCCTCCTCCTCCTCCTCCTCCTCCTCCTCCTCGGGGAGTCTTGCTCGAGGCGTGGCGCCGATGCTTCACCTGCACCAGCTTTCGGCGTGTAGAGGTCGGGTGGTGCCAGAAGTGCCCCTGGCCCAAGGGAGGGAGGGAGGGGGAGAGGGAGGAAGGGAGCGGGGGGGGGGCAGGGAGGGAGGGAGGGAGGGAGGATGTCCAAGGAGGGCCCCCCACGGCCTCCAGAGCACCCGTCACGAGGTCCAGGAGGGCCTCGGCCAGGGGCACTTTGGAGGCTTTCTCCGAAGGGCTTAGGCGACCCGTCCTCCTCCTCCTCCTCCGCCTCCTCCTCCTCCTCCTCCTCCTCCGCCTCCTCCTGCTCCTCCTCCGCCTCCTATCCTCCTCCCTCCTCCTCCTCCTCTCCTCTCCTCCTCCTCCTCCTCCTCCTCCTCCTCCTCTCCTCCTCCTCCTCCTCCTCCCCTCCTCCTCCTCCTCCTCCTCCTCCTCCTCCTCCTCCTCCTCCTCCTCCTCCTCCTCCTCCTCCTCCTCCTCCGCCTCCTCCTCGGGTCGCCTACGGCCCCGGGGGAAATCGTGCAGGGCACCTGTTGGCAACCCCCGAAGAGGTGGGTATCGTGGGCATCGGCCGAAGGGTTCCCGACTCGCTCGCCCGCCGAGGGCGCCCCAGCCAAGAGATCTGCGCGGAGGTCCGAAAGTCTGTGGCGCAGCCGAAGCCGACAGCAAGGATCTTGGCATCTCCCGGCCGTGTGCATGTTTCTCTCGGCGAGGACCATCGAGGAGCATCCTGGATCATCGAGCCAACAAAAAAAAACACGCACGAGATCGACAGGTGCACGGGGAATGGACGCCCGAGCCATGGCATGGGATGGGTGACCTTTCCTGGGGGTACCCGTGCATCCTTGCCTTCTCGGTCCATCCCTGACTCCGTTTCGATGGCCAGCCCCGCTCGTAACGCTTCGCCATGGGTGCCCAAGGGGCCTGCAGCCTTACAGTGGAGACCCATGCCAAGCAACACCTTGCTTGCCTCCAGGGTGCCCTGGATTTCTTGGGTGTCGATGGTTTTGCCATGGACAGCGCGACGTTCCCACACAAAATCGGTGGACGTCATGGGGTCTCAGGGTTGGGTTCCTTGTGGAAGGTGTCTTGTGGACTGGCCCCCACTGCATCGCGGATCCCTGCCATCTCCCGCGAGGGGCGAGCGCTGCACTCGCCGACTGGAGCACCCTGGGCGCCCCGCTTCGGCAGCGGCGCCCCCCCGCCCAGACCCCCTCGAGTGCGGCAGCTGAGCGGCTGCCTTCGGCCTCCGGAGGCCCTCTCCTCCTCCTCCTCCTCCTCCTCCTCCTCCTCCTCCTCCTCCTCCTCCTCCTCCTGCTCCTCCTCCTCCTCCTGCTCCTCCTCCTCCTCCTGCTCCTCCTCCTCCTACTCCTCCTCCTCCTCCTCCTCCTCCTCCTGCGGTGGGTGTGCAGCTACCTTCGGTCTGACTCGATGTCGATTCTAGCAGGCTGGATCCGACCCGTTCCCGATGGCTCGGTCCACCGGGTGCGGCCCGAGTTGCTTCTGCGTCCGGCTTCTATATCCTCGGCCCGATGCTGGCACGGCTGGCTCCTGTATCCTGGCGCGGCCGATCCTCGAGCCGACCTCGGCTCCGCGCAAGTGTGGCCCGGTCCGAACGATCCGATCCGGTTTCCCCGTTCGATGCTGGCTGATCCTGCCCTCCTTTGTCCTAAGCCCACCCCCCCCCCGGCGCCGTCCCCCAGGACTGGGGCGCCTGCACGGACATCTCCTGCGGGATCGGCCGCAGGCAGCGCAGGAGGTCCACGTGCGAGCGATCGAAGGAGCGGCTGCTGCGTCGCCGCGGGCGTCGTCCTCGGTGTTGGCGCCGTCGTTCTCCACCGTCGTCTCGCCCTCCACGTCCTCCCATCTTCCCCGCCCCGCATCCTGGCTCCCCCTCGTCCCTTCTTCTCTTCCCATCCCCTTCCCTTAACTCGGGCCTGTCCCTCTACAGGGGGGAATATTCCAAAATAGTCACAACATTGTCGGGGGACTATTTCTGGAGTATTGTTTGACAATGTTAGAATATGTTTTGACTACTTTTATTCAATCGCTTCGCTCATTCCGCCGGCCCATGTTGCATGATCGCTACTGGCCCGGGGCCATTGTGGCGCCGCCGAGGAGGAGGAGGAAGATGAGGATGGGGAAGGGGAGGGGAGGAGGATGAGAGGATGAGAAGGAGAGGAGGAGGATGAAGATAAGTAGTAGGAGGAGGAGCAGGAGGAGGAGGAGGAGGAAGGGGAAGGGGCGGAGGAGGAAGCCTCTCGGTGGCATCTTGTGTTGCTCTTGGGGCCAAACATGGTCGTCGTCAAGATGCTTCTTTGGGAGGTTATTCGGGAGGCCTCTTGGGGTCTTTTGAGAAGCTGTTCGGGGGCGCCTGGGAGGCATTTTTGAACTTCTGGGGCCTCTTTTGGGCCTCCTGGGGGGCCTCCTGGGGCCTCTTAGGGGCCTCTTGGCGGCATCTCGTCGCCTCTTGGGGGCTTCTTGGGGGCCTCTCGGGGCCTCCTGGGGCCCTCTTGGGGCGGAAGGCTCGAGTTGTCGGTTCGTGCTCCCCCTCTTGGGCCCCTCTTGGGGCCGTCTTGGGCCGTCTTGGGCGCCTCTTGGGCGTCTCGGGGCCTTCTTGGGCCCTAGTGGGGCCCTCTTGGAAGCCTCTTGGCCCGTCTTGGGGCGCTCTTGGGGGCCTCTTGGGTCGTCTTGGAGCATCGGATGGCCGAAAAGGCGACAAGGTCAAAATCCTTCCAAAACCATAGTAAAATTATTGATTTTGGCCTCTCGGGCCCTCTTGTGAGGTCTCTTGGAGGTCACTTTGAGGCCTCTTCGGCCGTCTTGGGGTCATCATCGGCGTCTTGGAGCACTCTTTGGGCGTCTCGGGGGCCTCTTGGGCAGTCTTGGGGACCTCTTGGGTCAGGAGGGGGGGTAGTCGATTGCGCCCCTCCCCTCGGAGGCCACGATCCTCGTGAGGGGTGTCGAACAATTGCCCGGTCTGGCATCTCTGATCCGAGTGTCCCGGGGGTGTCCCGGGGGTGTCCCGGGGTGCTTTTCGTCCGGGGACCCCCAGGGGCGGCCCCGCGCGCGCGAACCAGAATATTGTTAACCAGCTACCGGAGATCTTAGCACGCCCTTGGCCCGTTGGGCCGGCGAATTTTTCGAAATCCCCCCGTAGGGGGACAGGGCCGACCTGACCTCTCCCCGCTCCGTCTCGTCTTGGTCCACTCAGCGGGGCGCCGAGCCTCCTCGCGCTGCCGAGCCGCTCCTCCGAGACCCCCAAGACGGCCCAGCAGACCCCCCAAGGCTTAAGTCGGGCGTGTCCTTCCTACAGGAGGAAAATTCAAAAATAGGCAAAAAATAGTCAGGGGACGTTTTTTGAGCATTTGTTGACTATTCTTCAGTACGGTTTGGATATTTTATAATTTTGTGCCCAGAGTCCGCCTGTAGGAGGACATGCCCGACCTAACCCAAGGCCAATGATTCCCGAGCAGTTGGGGCAACACGGTGGCAGTGACCCCAGATATCTTCGGATGGAGTCCTGCGCCAAGCTGCAGAAGGGTCTCCCGCGAGAAGAGTGCAGGCTCGCGCCCACTTGGCGAATGACCCCCTGAGATCGGCCCAAGACGGGCCCAAGGGTACCCCAAGACGGCCCTGCAGCTGAGCCGGCATCTTAAATATAATCAGGACAAAATACATGTGTTGAGTTCAATATGAATCCCCATTTGGTTTTGTATTTCTCTGTGCGTTGGCATATGGTTTGGACTTTCCTGTTGCAAGTCAACACTTCCTAGACGCCTCGGGAGAGGTTGGCAGTACTGGTGACCCGCCTACCGCCTGCCCTTTCCACTCGACGGCCAGCCGCTAAGGTGCTGCGTGAGGCTCCGGCCCACCGCTTTAGGCTAATTCGTCTGTGCGCGCCCCGCTCTGACTGGACTCGCCGCCGGCGCGCTCGCCTGCCTGCGGCGCTGACAAAAAGTAAACTCACCAGCAGTTGCTGACTTTCCATGTGCGTGGTCGCTCGCCCACACCGTACCTGCGTCACTATTTGGCACCTCAGTGGGCACGCCGTGCGTTACCTGGTACCGCAATTTCGATTGACGTGGCTCTGATAATGACTTGTGATGCCTCCCGCACCATGTTGGCCGCGCTGAGCCCAGTTCCGCGCTGAGCCAGGCGCCACTCACTTCGCTGTTTTCCCTTTGCTTCGGCGCAGCCCGCGTTAGCTTGCACGGCGTTCGACTCGTCTTCGCGCGCCCGCGTACCAAAAGTAAACCTACCAGCTCATCCAGAAACGATCCCCAGACGAGTTGCCTTGATCAGGGATGTGGAAGAGCATGCAGTTCAAGGGCTGGGTAGGAAGCCATACCCCCAGAGGGGGCGGGAGGAGGAGGCCGAGAAGGAGGAGGAGCAGGAGGAGTAGGAGGAGGGGTAGGAGGAGGGGTAGGAGGAGGAGGAGGAGGAGGAGGAGGAGGAGGAGGAGGGCGAGGAGGAGGAAAGAGGAGAAGAACGTGGAACATGATGAGGAGGAGTAAGCGGAGGAGGAAGAGGAGGAGGAGGAGGAGGAGTAAGGAGGAGGAGGAGGAGGAGGAGGAGTCAGCGGATGAGGGGGAGGAGAAGGAGGAGGAGGAGGAAGAGGAGGAGGAGGAGGAGACAAAGGTCGAACAGAACAGCCAGAAGCTTCTGGATTGCTTCTCGGAGTCTCCTCGGATGTCGCTTGGAAGTTTTTTGGGGGCCTCTTGGGGCGTCTGGGGGGGCATCTTGGCGGGCCCAGGGCCGTCTTTGAGCGTCTTGGTTGCCTCGGGGATTCTGTTGATGCCTCTTGGGGGTTTCTTGGGAGCCTTGTGGAGGCACTTTGGGCGCCTTTTGGAGCCGCCTGGGCGACTCTTGGGGCCCTCTTGGGGCGCTCTTGGGAGCTTTAGGGGCGCTCTTGGGGCCATCTTGAAAGACATCGATACAACAGAGGGGAGCTTTAATTAGCCCTGCCCTTTTAGAGTGCCTAAAACCGCCTGTTGTGGCGCTCTTGGAGCGCCCTTGAGCGCTCCTGGAGCAGTCTTGGGGCTCTCTTTGGCTCCTCTTGGGGCCCTCTTGGTCCTTCTTGGAGCCATCCTGAGGCCTCGGATGGCCAGCGGAAGCGAAAAGGCGAGAAAGCCCCAAAAACATAGATTTTCCTCAGATGCTCGAGCGATTTTCCTCTCTTGGGGGCCTCCTTGGGGAGCTCTTTGGCCAGTTGGAGCCGTCTTGAGGCGGTCTTGGGGTCCCTTGGAGTACCTGGGAAACCATCGTGAGCGATCTTGCGCTTTCTGGAGCCATCTTGGATGCCATCTTGAACTCTCTGAGGCCCTCTTGGAACCACCTTGGGCCATCTTGGACGCTGTAACTACCCGCGACCGGCCCCGTCCAAGTCCCGTGGAGGGGGTAAAAGGGGAGGGGTGAACCCTTCCCCGAAGGGGAAGAAGGGGGTTGGAAGAGAAAGCTCCCTAGACTACCTACGCCCAGAGGGCTGGTGGGATTTATTGGCGAACGCATGTATGCACGGCTGGGGGATGTGTGGGCATGTTTCGTAGAGCTTGAGAACCCGATCGAACAGATTTCGTAGAGGTCGAAGACTGTTTTTAAGCAAGTGTCGTAGAATTGGGAAATTAATGAAACAGTTCAGCGTGCCTCAGGAACCACCACCTTAGCGAAGTCCTGGTGTGAAACCGGTGCAAGTTTGAAACGCGCCAAGGAACATCGAGCATGTTTGTCAACACGACCGTCGATAATTCAGCACGTGATATGTGATTGCGAAACTGTAGTGCGACAGGCTATTTTACGATTTGCTGGGTAACCTACGTGGTGCCTGCCTCGCTGGGGGAACATATCGAGTGGCATGCATAGCCGCATTCAAAGGTCCAGAGCGCAATACCTTGAACTTGTGGATCGTTTTCGGGTCACCCACCCGCCCGTGGGTTACCTGTGTGGTGCCTCTTCACACGGGGAAAGTGCGAATGCATGACGTAATCTTGAGGCCCCACAAATGAAAATGAACCAATCGATGTTTCTTAACCAGCTGTCGGATGACCCACCCGCCCTTGGGTCACCTGCGTGGTGCCTGCTTCTTACGGGACACGTATCGCATGGGAATGCATGGCGTCATTCTGTGACCCAAAGCGCACGTGACACAATGGGTTGTCTAGTACCAGTTGTCGGATGACCTGTTTGTTCTTGGATCACTTGCGTGGTGTTTTGCGTCGTGCGGGAAACGCATTGAGTGGGAATGATTCCTCAGGCTGGCGCCCAGACCAGAAAGAAGGAGGAGGGGAAGGAGGAGGGGGAGGAGGAGGAGGAGGAGGGGGAGGAGGCGGAGGAGGAAGAGGAGGGTGAGGAAGGAGGGACACCTCAGGCTGGCGCCCAGAGTGTCAGTGAAACGCTGAGCAGTTTCTCCACCATGTCTCGGGTGAGCCGCCCAGCCGGTCACGTGCGTGGCGCTTGTTTGATGCGGGAGACGTATCGGGTGTTGCTAGAAGTGCGCCTGGCCCAAGGTGCCCCCAGCTTTTCGCACCATTTCGGAGCCACTAGGGCCCTCTGGGCCTCGTGATGGGGTGCTCTGGAGGCCGTCTGGGCCACCCCGAGAATCCTAGGGGCACCTTGGGCCAAGGGTGCTCCTAGCAACATCCGAACGCATTGAGCGGGAACGCGTCGTTCGCGCGCGTGTGCGACTCGCAGGGCACCGCCGGCGATCCTGACCGCGCGTGCGGGCAACCGCCCCTCTGCACAGCGTGGCGCGACCAGGTCAGGGATCGCCGCGTCTTTCGGC